GCAACGATACTACCATCTCACGTAGAGCGGCTACCTTACCGCGTAATGTAGACACCTCAACACGCCATGCACCATCGTCTTTGCGTAAAGTACCGACCTCCTCACGCAAGGCATTGACCTCATCACGTAACTCCCCTAACTCATCCCGTTGAGGTGGAGGTGGAGAACAGGGAGATAAACGTCGTGGCATCTTTGCCCGTCACCTATCTTGCGGTGATGGTGGAGAAGAGGCTCGATGATGTGACAGAATAGGTGATGGTTGTCGTTGTGGAGGTGTATAGCCGGGTCGATCAGATGATGGCTCTGGGTGAGGTGATAGCTTTGGGCGAGGTGATGGCTCCCGAAGTGGAGGCTGTTCATCAACCGTTCCATCAAAAAAACGCTTACTAGCTTGCCACCAATCAGTGGCAAGCTCAGCTTCCGTGGGTGTCAGCCTCTGTAGAGGAGTGTTGGCCTCCTAACAATATAAAAGCTCAAACAAAGTTAAACGTGTACTAGTAATAACTTGTTTATAAACATATGGTAGTATTTATGTTAACTTACATTATTTATTGTCGTATACCGTAGTAAATCTTCCCATTGCAAGGTCCGTTTCCTCTTCCAGGAAATAGCCCTGGGAATATTATTTGAAGTTTTTATTGCATATGTCTTCATGGCGGAAAAGGCCTCAAATATCCAAATCTACAAACAATATAATAACAAACATTAGTAATTGTTAAATAATTACTTATAATTTTGGAAACATTATATAAAAATTCTTACCTTAAAGGCCCAAATAAAGCCTGTCAAAGTGTATTTGGAACCATCGCCATGCAAACTTTTTCGATCATCCAAGGCAGACGATAACTTATTCCATGTAGCTTTCCATAAATACGAGCCCCACGGAAACAGGTTCCACGCATTTAGGTCTTCTACCAATTTGATTAGATCATTTGGAATAGGTTGTCTGGCCTCTCTTCCTAAAAAGCCGGCATGCAAAAGAATTAGAAGGCATACTCGGACAACGTCGACGTCATCCATCCGAGTAAAACCATCTTTCTTATTCAATAATATCGTCAGGTCTTCCACGTGTAGATTCGGCCTCTCCAGCTCAGGAAAAACCCGGGATAACCATGATGGGTGGGTAATATGTCTAGTGTACCGACCTACATCATCGTGTCCGAAGCGTAGACCGATGATTAAGCAAAACTCCTCCCGCCCAAAACACGTATACGCCGGTGGAAAATCAAACCATATCTCTTCATCACGACGTTGTATAGTATCTGGTAGATCCCTAGTCATGGTTTGAAGAAATAGGTGTGTCAACATCGCATCTCCACCGGGATGTTGTACTTTCAGCCATGGCCCGAAGCAAGTATCCTCAAACATTTTTCTTTGTGCAGGTGAAAGCTTCGACGCAATTGTTTTGGCCAGGCTGACTTTATTTCTTAAGGTTAATTGAGCCGAATAAAAGTTCTACAAAAACAATAAACATACTAAGTTAGATATACCAAAAACTACACTGTGAAGATATACCAAAAACAATAATAAACATAAAGAGTAGTAGTTTATTCTTCAAACTTAAATTTGCAACACTGTGAATTTCTTATTTGTCTTTGTTTTTTGGTTGAAGTAATGCAATTCATTCAAGTTTCAATTTGCAGAAGAAGAATAGTTTCTAAAAATGAAAATCGCAACACGAAAATGACTATCGCAACGCGAATTTGACTATCGCAACGCGAATTTGACTATCACAACGAGAGAATCGCAACGCGAAACTAAAATCGCGTTGCGATTTTCATTTCGCGTTGCGATTCTCGGTTAATAATAAGCAATCTAAGTGAAATGGTTAATCTATTATTGAAATTACCAGTAAACTTATCATCAATTTCAATATGAAAAACCTAATAATAATGCAAAAATTTCAAAAAGAAAATAATTAAAAAAACTAACCCTCGTTGGTTGATTTGGTTGATTTTCCATTTCTGATTGTGAGGGTGGCTCTGAGAGATGGAGATAGACGGATTTCGCCGGAGATGAGGACGGATTTTGTCGGAGATAGGTGAGAGAGTGAGAGATGGAGATGGGACTGAGTTGTGATTTTAGGTTTTAGGTTATGAGTTGCGATTACGGGATATACTGTGGACGGTTCAGTGTTCCAATAAATTAATATTCGTGTTTGGAATTTAAAAATAAAATACTTGGCCAAGATACTAATGGCGCTTTGAAAATCGCATTGCGATTATGTATTATCGCGTTGCGAAAGTCAGTATCTCGTTGCGATTTTGTATTATCGCATTGCGATAGTAAGTTTGCGATTTTCCCAATTCGCGTTGCGATTTACTTTTTCGCATTGCGAATTGGGAAAATCGCAACGACACTGTAGACCATCGCAACGCGATTTCCAACTATCGCAACGCGAATTTGCTATAATGGAGATCGCGATGCGAATTAGCGATCGCATTGCGATTTTGTTGGTCATTTTGGCAAATCCGGAAAAAGTTGGTTAAAATCGTATATTATAAGGCATTTTTGGTCACTGAGGCGATTTTCTCTAATTTTTATTGGAACTCATTATGTAATGGTGATGAGTTCTAATAAAATATATATTTTTTGGATAAAATGTCCAAAAATATATAAGTAGTCTTCGAATTTTTAGAACGTTTGTATTTTGGTCACCTTACTTCTAAAATTTGTAATACAATCATCGAATTTTTGTTCATTTTCAATAAGGTCCTTGTCGTTATCTCCCGTTAGTTTTTATTGACGTGACACTTAACTATGTTAACTCCCTTCCTCTTTTTCTTCTCAAACTGTGTCATCGTCATTCACCCTACCTCTGGTCATCAGTGGCTCACACTGTCATCACCATAGTCACCGACATTGTTTATTGACCACACCCCGACCCTCAATTCATACTCACCGTCCACCGTTCATCTCAAGTTGCGAAAAGACCGTTTGAACACCCATCCTCGATCTCTGTTCGAAAACCCCAACGACGGTGACACGACTGACTGAGTTTTGGGCGGAACAATGTGAGGACTCCAACAGTGGTGGAAGTGTAGCGAACAGACAACCTCATCTGTCGAAAATTGATGAAAACAAAAAAAGGTGTTGGGTTTTTTTTTTGACGAGATTCAGGGCCCTCTCCATGGCAAACAGGTGTGAGTCTCAGCGAGTGGCTAACGGGGTTTCGGTCAGAATGAGTGGTGCTCCTACTGGTACCGACAGTGACGATCACCAGTGATTGATAACGGAGATCGAGGATGGGTGTTCGAACGATCTTTTCGCGATTTGGGACGAATAGTGGACGGTCAATATGAATCGAGGGTCGGGGCATGGTTGAGAGGCGACGTCGGTGGCGATAGTGATGACGGTGTGAGCCACCGTTGACCAAAGTTGAGGTGAACGGTGATGACACGACTTGAGAAGGAGGAGGAGGAAGAAGAGAAGAATAAGAATAAGAAGGGGTTAACGGAGTTAAGTACCAAGTTAGCAAAAACTAACAGGAGGAAAAATATGAACCTCACTAAAAACGAATTAAAAGTTCAATGACTGTATTGTAAGTTTCAAAAGTTGAGTGACCAAAATGCAAACGTTCTAAAAGTTCAAGGATTATTTATATACTTTACTCTATTTCATTTTATTAAAATTTGTCATATAGCAAAATATATTTTATTAGAACTTGTCACCTTCCCGTTACGAATTTCAAAATATTATAATAATTATCATAGATCCCCAAATATTTTTCTATCAACGATATATTTCAGAATATTTTTTACGTGAATATTATTACACTAGGTTTGCAAAATTCTTTCCTAAAAAAGTAAGTGAGACTTCTAAAAGTATATGGGGTAAACGTTTCAAATACTCGCTAAATTATGAGGTCTAATCTATTTTGACCGTTAAACTAAAGCTTTTTCCAATTAAACTATTAAAATGCTATTCATCAAGTAAGTGACGATTAACATTTAATGAAAATGATAATCTGATAGTTAAGTAAATCTTTACAATTATAATTTTTATTCCCTTACGTATTTGTATGAATTTAATTCAATAAATTTAATTCTTTAATCAGTTTGTAACACATATCACAATATGATTGAAGAAATTTTAGTTAAATATTTTGTAAAATTTTAAAGGATAAAGTACACAAATGATCTATCAACTATAGGAAGTTTCTTTGTTGAGTCTCTCGATTATTAAAAGTTGTAAAATGGTCTCCCGACTAAAGGGTGTTGCTTTATTAAGTCATCTGACTATTAAAAGTTATAAAATGGTCACCCAACTATTCATATGTTTTAAATTCATAATTTTTCGCTAAAAAAATATGACATTTTGAGCTAGAAGTTAATAAAATAATTATGAAGATTTAAAAAGTCGAACTATTGACTGATATTGAATCAATTTTATAAGACTTTCAATTTATAATCGATCCTTTTTGTTGTATTTATATTCGATTTATGATATCAGTTACCGCTTGAGTTGGAACATATGATAAAGTGTGTGAAGTACTAACAATTTGAAGCATTAAACGACATATAAAAATGAACACCATAAAATATGATTGTGCAATTTGATAATACCACATCTATAGTGTCTTACATAAAGAGTAAGTCTATTGTACAATATTTTAATTATCTCAAATAATAATTATTTAATTTATTTTATTCACAACCTAGACAATCATAATCTGATTCATATAACAATTATATATTTATATAAACTCGTCCTCTTTACTAAAATTCTTTTTCTCAGGACGATAAAACACTCAAAATTACAAGATAAAAATAACAAATATAGCCCAAATAATGGCTTAATATCAACAAAAAATGAAAAAAAGACTAAAGAAAGATAAGAGTTGAAAGAAACAAAAATGGAAAGCCCTTTTAATGACAAGAAAGTCTGTTGAAAATATTCTAGTAGCTAATATTAATTATTGCTAACAAATTATTATGTTGGTCGAGATTTTCCATCAAAAAGTACTTGTGTTAGAGATGAAAAAAAATTGGTCGAGAATAGAAAGAGGATGAAACCAATGGCAATGATCGATTACTCGAGATGCACGTGAATACCAATTGCAATGACCAAGACGGTGATTATGCAGAAGTATATTATGGCATGAATTAGGATGGCTATCCCACTTGTGCACATGTTTCCGAACTCTATCACTCGAGTCCTCGACGGCAGCTGGAACAGCAACCCCGGCGATAAGAGGATGAACAAGCCTACCGCGACGAACACTGGTCCCCAATCTGCACTCATGATTTCTCTCCTTTCTTTTTAATTCCTTTTTCTTCCTGGAATTCACTCTTGAAGCATAGGGTTTGAAGATATTTTTTTTTTCAAGAGCTTCGATGATCTTCCTATAGAAAATGGAAACACAAGAGGTGTTTGGAATACATTATATTAAGTAGGGATGAATGGAACGTATTTTCTTGGGGGATATGATGCTAAACTTAGTGATAAAGGAAAGAATGAGTTTAAAGGGGGAAGTAAGGTATTGTGAAGGTTGCTTTTATGGAGAATGAATTAAAACGCTTCTTTTCTTAGTACATGTTAGCATTGCAATCTCATTTCTCATAACAAGTCTAAGTTTGGAACTTAGCATTGCAATCCCTTCTCTTTTCTCATAAATTGTAGCTGCTAGCGTTAAGGGGATCTCTTTTATATGTATATCATGTTTGAAACCCTCCCTAAATCATGTAAATTTTAAGATAAAAAATATTAAATTATGATCAAATCTATACAGCCGGTGAAATTTAAGGATTAAATATTAAATTAGAATCGAGTCGATACAATGTAAATTTTCTTAAGACTAAATTGATAAATGTGTAAAGTTTGAGAATAAAATATTAAATAAGATCAAATTGACACAATATGTAAATTTTAAGGATCAAATATGTTATTTTACTAATTTAAGAGATTATCACATCATCTTCGGTTACTGACTTCGGAAATGGATAAAAAAAAATGAAATCTATAATTTGTCAAATGATCATCTTAGAACTTTTGATAGTCGAATCATCAAAAGAGAAAAGCAATAATAGTCATTGGTCACTAAACGTTAGCATCTATCTTGTGTTGATAACTGAATTATAAAGTGTTTTAATTTAATCATTAAAACTTACTGAATTTGGTTTTTGATCCTTGGGTCATTAAATCATTAGCAGTCTGATTGACATAAAATAATTCACATCATTTATTGAATGTATAAATTATGTGTTGAATCAAGATTAAATTAACATAATATACAAGCATTTGTAACTGATGTCAATCAAAATAAAATAAAAAGTTAATGAAAAACATTAAAGTCTCGATTAAGTGTTCTTAATTACTCTCTTTTGAAGTTAATCTAAATCAATTTCAACATAATAACAAATTCCTATATAAACTTATGATTAATTTCAACATCCTCACCAGTCTATATATATTTGACACTTGATTCCTTATTCTTACATTCATTCATTGGTAAGAGTTTGTATAGGGCTTTTTAATTAGATGTCGTTGAGAACTTTTAATCCACTTTATCCAAATATATCCGATTTTTTTATTTATTAAAATAACATTCATTTACCAACAACTAGTTGGTCTAGTGGGATGAGATACTAGATTCTTAAGTAAGGTCAGGGGTTTGAATCCTAGTGTTTGTGAATGGACCCGATCCAGATTAGTTAGTCAATAGATCACAATGATTAATTAAAAAATAACATTCATTTATAATTATTTTTTTATATAATATTTATTTAAAGATAAGTTTTATCTTAAATTACTCAATGAGTATATAATTAAAAGTCTATATATAAATATTTGAACATTGTTATATGTAACAATGTGGGATTTGAGAATCTTGTAATCAAACATGTAACACTCTAAACCAGTACGACACACTGTCGACTGATTTGAATTCTACACAGAACCACCGAGTGGCTAACAAAAAAAATTATTAATTGAAATGATTTTCCTGAAAGTGCTCGTAATGAAATAAATCGACCACGTTTATATAAAACAATTTACATCAGGAGCTCCCAGAAATAATAATTTAAAATATACAAACCATTGTTTTAAAAAAGTTACGACTCAACAAGTACAAGGGTCCATAAATATAAATGCTCTATAAAAAAGGACTCGAGAAGTACTTTGCTACACTTGGTCTGGATCTCAACTGCTCAAAAGACTCCTTGACTGCTCCTCTACTAACCTGCATAAGGAAACAAATTCTAAACGTTGAGCTAACTAGCCCAGTGTCACACTAACAACTAAATCATACTAAATGTATTCAGTAGAATGCTCAAGCTATCAAGTATAGTGCATTAGTGAGTATACTAATATACTACATTCTCTACTCTATGGTAGACATCATGGTGCGACTGAGGGTTTTGTATCTTGGAGCTCACACACCCCTCTATTCCACCAAGAATATGGGCTCGAAATCTCTACACCGGACACAACACCGTTGACTAACACACCCCTTGAGAGTGGCAAACCTTGCGCCCTAGTTAGTCAATTTAAAGTGCCTTGCGCACTACCTAAGGATATTAGAACTGATTATTTTATTCGATACTTCACTTCTAAAGTAACCCGGGTGTTTGGATCGTTTCCCGAGTATTCAAACAAGACTAGTTTTATATCCCCTTAGCTGATCTCAATTATAATGTGATTAAGAAATATTATTATTACCAGTTAAAGTATTATTTTAGAGCAATTAAAGCCTTTGGGAAACCTTATTTGGCTCATAAAATATATTGGATTTCTTGCCAAAAATGAACGAGGGTATCGATAAACACCATTGGGTATCGATGCCTTAAGGTTAAATCAAGTTGAAAATGAGTGATTGGTATCGATACTGCTGGACCAGTATCAATACTCCCAAGTTAAGGTATCGATACCATCAAAGGTATCAATACTAAAATTTGATCTGATACTCCCATGAGTATTGGTACAAAAAATGGCTACTGGAATCTGCTAAGTTACCCCAGTATCGATACCTCCCTGAGAGTATCGATACCTTACCTATAGTATCAATACCCATTGTTTGAGCATCAATACTTCTAGCTTAAAAACCCCTTTAATTTTTAACAGCTGAAGAACAATATTGGTATTGTTCTTCCAGTACCGATACTTCTACCCAGACATGCCTTACTTAGGCACGAAAATGACTCTTTAAACTACCCAAAAAGCCCTACCGAGGTCCCCCAATCATTATTAGGTTTTTATGTAATATTAAGGAGTCATAAATAAGGCTTTGAAACATGCTATAACACTAAAACATAGAAGTTACCATGAATCCACTTAACATGCATCAAACTAACTCTTAAGCTACAAAGCATTTATAATGGCCGACAATTGGTATGAGAAAGTTGTAAATGTGTTACCTAAAAATTTTGGTTGCTAGAAGCCCTCAAATCACCCAAGGGATAGCTTTTCCTTTTCTCTTGCCCTTGAGCTTTCTCCCACTTCTTTCACTAACCAAAGGTAAGAAAAGGGAATTACTAGCTTAATTAGGTGGTTGGATTAAAGATAGGGACACTTCTTAGAGCTTGAATCTATCCAAAAACAATTTAGAATCCATAGATTCTCTTAAACCTCCAGAAACCCATTTTGGAAACTAATGGTAAAACTTGAGAAATGAGGCTTAAATGGAAGCTCTTTGATTGAGGATTACCAATCTTACTTTATTTAAACTTAACAAGGCTTGAAATCTTTAAAGCTCTCACTTGAAGGAGGAAGGAGAAGAAAAGAAAGATGAGATGAAAAAAATGAGTGTTTAATGAGCTAATAGGGGGAAGTGGTTCACGTAACATGACATAAAATAGGGGGCTTTCAGCTTCTAATTTTAACAAAGGGAAAATTACACTTTTGGTCACTCATATTTCTATTTCATAACATGATCATCACTTCTTCTTTAACTCTTGGGCCCAACTCAAGCCCACTATCTTTAAACTTGGTCCAACTATTTTTAATAGGTTTCTGTGGCTCACTTATAGGTCTCGAGTTGACCCGAACTATCAACCCGAAAATCGGGGCATTACAAAACACGCTACTTTTTAACTATTATAGATAGATAGATTCCGAATTTGATCAAATCAATGCATATCAGTACAACAGTCAAAGACAATTTTAAATATTGAGATTTCTAGTATTTCATAAGACAATATTGATGGATTTAAGTTTTTTACAATTAAAAATGAGTATGTTTGGCCGTGAGATTCTTAAATACCACATTGTTTAGATACAATTTTTTATTACTTTAATATATTTTTAACCATGCATTATTGAGTACTTGAAATAACGTTTTTAAATGCGTATTCGTTGTTGTCTGACTCATGCCTGTGAAAATACATGTATTTAACATCTACCACACATGTTTCCTCTTTTTGAACAAAATTTATATACTTGTTTTTCATATTCTTGGCTCTTTTTTTTCTTTCTTTCTTTCATTTTGGCCATCTTTCTTACAACGATAACACCACTTGGGAACAGGGATAGCAAGCGGGTACAATTTCGTAGATTTCGCACCGTACCCGCTCCAATTAGAGCGGGGATGGGTATAACTTTAGTGGGTAGTGGGCGAGTGTGAGTTTAGAAAGTGGTACCCGTCGCTGGTAGTGGGCGGGTGATGGGTTTGAGACCTTACCCGCCTCGCATCCGCCCGCCCACTACATACCTATTAAATTTTGGACCATTATAAATTTAGGTATAATTTTAGGGTTTATCATTTATGTGTGCCAAAGAACTAAAATATTATGTGTTTGTCATTTATGTTTATAGGCTTTAATTATGTCTTTTATTATGGTGTTTTATGTACTTTAAGATCTATGTTAACACTTAACTCAGATAATCCTTGGTTTATTTTATTATGTTTCTTAATGGACGTGTTTGTTTTATGTTTGTTGTTTATGTATAACTTAAGGTTGCTGTAAGGCGGGTCTAGCCGGGTACGTCTCCAGTTGGGTAGTGGGTGTGGGGATGAATTTGAGAATGTATCCGCGTGGACGGGTGTGAATTTGAAAAATTTTACCCATAATAGGTGATGGACGGGTGATAAATTTGAAAATATTAGATGAATATGAGGATGAGGGAGGAGGTGTTCGCACCTGACCCGTCAGTCTGCCATTCCTACTTAGAAAGAGGCACTTCTAATAAGAATCGCCTTGGTAGGTGCGTCTTACGTGGAGCGTCTTTACACACATAACATAAAAAAGAGTACTAATTCCAAAATAAAATAGAAATGATGTTATTTTATGTATTAATTTTAAGATGATATTTAATGAAACACAAGAAGAAAATATGAAAAATATATTAAAAGAAAAGGAAACTACAAAAAACCACTTTTGATTCAAAGA